TGGTGGAATTTCAATCATCATTGGAGGTAATATTTGGGGGTTAGGGCAACATTCCCAGTTCCCCTCAAATCCTAACACAGAGAGAACTATATATAGTGTGATTCAGTGGGAAGATTCCTGGATTGGAAGTCAGGAGACATACATTCTAATCCCAGCTCTGCCACTATTAAGCTGTATGATCCTGACCTAGTCATTTCCCATCTTATCTTTGAGTCTTAAAGAATCACAGAATCCTGAGAGTTGGGAAAGACCTCGGCAGCCATCTATACCCAGTGGTGTGGGTATGGGCTGAATTAATCTATACCTACAAGGAATCTCCATTATAACATACCTGACAAGTGGCCATCCAGCCTCTGCCAGAAGTCCTCCAAAGATGGTGGACCCATCACCTTCCAGGGCAGCCCGTTCATTTTTAGACAGCTCTAATCATCAGGAAGTGTTTTTGATTTGGTGCCTATATTTGATTTTTTACAACTTTAACCCATTGCTCCTGATTCTGACCTCTATCCCCCCTCACCCCCCACCATTCCCATTTTCCTCTCTATATATGTCAGACCTTCAGATGAAGATAGTTGTAATATAGCCCCCGAGCCTTCTCTCCTCCAGGCTAAACATTTCCAGTTTCTTCAACCTATCTTCCTATGACATGAATTCAAGGCTTGGGAGAAACGCAAGGATGCTGAGATCCTGGTTGCCCTCCTCTGAATGTTCTCCATTTTTATTAATCCTTAATCACTGAATGGGCACTGCCTCAAATGGAGACCTGTTAAAGATCTTAGCTTGAAAAGTCCAAGGTCCCCCAATGCACCCTGGACCATCTCTAGTTGTCCTGATTCATATCTGGCCACTGGACCCAGATGGCTCTGGAGGAGAAAGTGAGGTTGGTGACTTTGCACAGCCCTCCCTCACTTAAATCCAATTCTCTTGCATGTCATGGCATCACCTCCCTGATGTCAGGGTCCTCTTTGAGAAGGAAGGCCAAACAGCAAGGAGCAGCAGCAATCTTGTCAACAACATTTCTATACTTCGATGCTCAGAATTAAACACAATATTCTAGATGTGGTGTGATCAAGGCAGAGCACAGAAGCAACTATCATCTCCCTATTGTTAGAAAATGTGCCTTAGTTTCCTGCTATGTGAAAGAATAAAGGACAGCTAGGTAGTGAGGTAGATAGAGCACCAGGCCTGGAATCAGGAAGACCTGAGGTCCAATCCAGCCTCAGACACTTACTAGCTGTGTGACCCTGGGCATGTCACTTCACCCTGTTTGCCTCAGTTTCCTCATCTGTAAAATGAGCTAGAGAAGGAAATGGCAGACCACTCCAGGATCTTTGCCAAGAAAACCCCAAAGGAGTTCATGAAGGGTTGGACATGACTGAAATGACTGAACAACAACAAAAATGTGAAATAAGGGGCTTAGGATAGGTCAGTATTTCTCAAATTTCTTTCCACAGGACTGTGAGGTGCCATGTGATTTGAACAGGGGCTTTGTGAAACAATTCCTACAATAGTGATATTTTCTCTTTAAAATAATAAATTTGAAATTATGCATACATCAAAATACTAAGTATAGCAATGTCCAGCATAAAAGGATAGGCACAGGAGTGGGGATCCTGTGGCCTCGAGGCCACATATGGCCCACTAGGTCTTCAAGTGTGGCCGTACTCTATCCCCACCCCTAGATAGGGTATAAATCTGTAATGCCGTTGATACAGAGGTCTCCCAAATGAAAAAGTTCCCTCTACCGATACAGACCAGCAACTTCTCTGCAAGTTAGTTTTAAAGGTAGGTGGCTAGGTGGTGCAGTCAATAGAGTGAAGGGCCTAGATTCAGGAAGATATGAGTTCAAATCCCACCTAGTTTTGTGACCTTGGGCAACCTCTGTTTGCCTCAGTTTCTTCAACTGTAAAATGGAACTCATAATAGCATCTACCTCCCAGGCTTGTTGTGAGGTTCAATCAAGATAATACTCTTAAAATGCTTGGTGCCATGTAAAGGATATATTATTGCCAGCGATAATTATTATTATTATATTATTGCCTAGAGCACTGAGAGGTTAAGAAACTTGCCCCAGGCACACAGCAAATATGTGTCGGGGGAAGACTTGAACCATGGTCTTCTCGGGTCTAAGACCAGTTCTCTAGCCTCTCTGACACACTGTGTCTCAGCTAGTGAGAAGGCTTAATTTCCTCAATTTTATACCACCATTTTCCTCCTGACTTTCCTTTACCCCAAGGTTGCTCCATCCTCCCTTCCTCCCCTTCCCCTAACCCTGAAGAGCCTGTATAGGTTTTGTCAATATACACAGTTTGACTCACAGGCTCTCAGAATTAGAAGGAACAGGGGCAGTTAGGCGGCACAGTGAGCTCTGGCCTCAGAGTCAGGAGGACCTGAGTTCAAATCTGGGCTCAGGTACTCGACACTTACCAGCTGTGTGACCCTGGGCAAGTCACTTAACCCTGATTGCCTCACCAAAAAGAAAAAAAAAGAATTAGAAGGAACCCCAGAGTCCAACCAATCTAACTTATACCTATGTAAGAATCCCCTTCCACATACCCAGCCAGTGGGTCATCCAGATTCGGAAGATCACCATGGATAGGGAATGTACCGTATCCTGAAAAAGCCAAGCAGATCTGACAGACTTCTACTTTGGAACAACTCTAATGACTCAGAAGTTTTTCCCTCAATCAAGATTAAATCTAACTCTTTCCAAATTCTACCCATTATTCCTAGTTCTGCCCTCTGGAACCCAGGAAACATGTCTACTGTCTTTTGCACATGACAGCTTTTGAAATACCTAAAGACAGCTTTCATATCTTCCTTTAGTTTTTTCTTCAGGCCAACTATCCCTAGATCTTTCAACCAATCTTCTGATTTAGTAATTTTCAGCCCTCTCATCATCTAAAGTAGCCTCCTTTGAAGATTCTCCAGTTTGTCAATGTTTTGCCTAAGGTGTAGCAACTAGGACTATACTAAGTACTTTAGATGTGGTCTGGCTAGGACAGAACATAATGGGTCTTTTCCATTCCTTTTCCCAGGCTTTATGCATCTATTAATACAACCTAAAATGACATTGGCCTTCTTAGCTAATGGCACACTATTAACTAATATCAAGTTCATACACACACACACACACACACACACACACACACACACACACAGCAGGTTAACTTCCCCTACTTGGGCTATGGATTTTTTTTTTAACCCAAGCGTAGAACTTTATACTAATCCCTACTAAATTTCAACTTTTTCAATTATATCATTGTTTCAACCAAGTAAGTTTTTTATTCTAAATTTATCATCCAATATGTTAGCCATCCGTCCCAGTTTCATATCATTCATAAATTTAATGAACATTCTCTCTATGCAAGTCATTGATGAAAAGATTGAACAGTCCAGGGCTCTAAAGAAGGATCTCTGGGACGTCCTTTTGATTTATCTCCTTCTATGTTTCTTCTATCACTTTTTTTTTAAATCTAGCCTTTCAACCAGTTCTAAATCTACTGAGCTGTACTCTCATCCAGTCCACATCTCTCCAATTTAGCCACAAGGATATAGGGGGAAGGGAACAAGAATTTATTTTAAGTGCCAGGCACTGTGCCAAGTACTTTACAAATAGTTCTTCATTTTGTCCTCACAACAACCCTGAGGTAGATGTTATTATGATCCTCATTTGACAGTTGAGAAAACCGAGGCAGACAGTAATTTAATTGATTTGCCCAAAGTGACACAGCTAGTAAATATCTGAGCTGAATTTGAACTTGTTTTCCTGACTCTTTCCACTGTATCAGGTGGCTCTCTCTATAGGAATATGTCAAATGCCTTTCTGAAATCGGGAAATACCATGTCTAACTTCTCACTCTCAGATCTACCTAGTAACTGTTCAGAAAAAGGAAATGAGGAAATATTGGGGAGTTGGACTTTTGTTGTTGTTTGGTCCTATCTAACTCTTGACCCCATTTGGGGTTTTCTTGGCAAAGATACTGGAGTGATTTGCCATTTACTTTTCCAGCTCGTTTGACAGATGAGGAAACCGACGTAAAGAGGGTTTAAGTGACTTGCACAGGGTCACACAACTAGGAAGGGTCTGAGGTCACATTTGAACTCAAGTCTTCCTGACTCCAGACCTGGTGCTCTATCCACTGCACCACCTAACTGCCCCAAGATGATATATATGTCTAGATGATATCTATGGTCAATTTCAGCTTTCAATCCAATGATCATTTGAAATGTTGAAAGCTCTGAAATGTTCCAAGACTCTTTGAGTGAGGAAACCCTAGATTAGCTAATCTCTGGAGTCCTTTCCTACTCTCAGAAAAGTTCAGAGAAAAGAATGCTGGAAATCAGAAGACCTGAGTTCAAATCCCAGCTCCGTCACTCATTTTCTAGATTTAGAGCTGGAAGGGACCTTGATCCAAGCATCTCATTTTATAAATGAGGAAACTAAAGTCAAGAGATCAAATTACTTGTTCTAGATCATACAACTAGTTGGTCAAAGAGCAGGGACTTGAGCCCATTATTTTTACAGATAAGGAAACTGAGGCTATGAGGTCAAGTGACTTGCCTAAAGTCACACATATCTTTTAGCTCCAGATTCTTTTCCATGATACCATATACCTTGGGCAAAGTCACTTTTTAATCTCTATGGCCTTCTGTTTCCTGATCTGTAAAAGAAGGTGGGAGTAGATAATCTCTTCTGTCCCTTCCAGTCCTAAAGCTGTGCTTCTGTTGCACTCATACCTAGGGTCTTTCCTAGATGCCAGTGTTTATTATTTCCATCATGTATGGGAAAGCCAGAGGCAGAGGAGTCATTTACCCAAACTCACAGATAGAGGCAGAGGCCCCTGCCCACCCAGTGACTGGGTTTCCCCTCCTGGAATGTGCTCAGGACCCCTCCAGTTCCCAAATGCCTACTTGGAAGTGCTTTGCTGGCACCCATGGCCAGGCTTCCTACCAGAGGATTCACCAGGGATGTAGTGAAAGCAGAATAAACTCCTTACTCATGCCAATGCCGCACACGGTCAGGGCAGCCACCACGGAGCCGGCTGACGTCCCGACCACGCGATGAGCCGTATCCAACATGCGAGGCGCCAGGTCTCGGAAAGCATCCACTGCCCCCACCTGATAGTAGCAGAGAAACCCGCTGCCCGAGAAGGAGATGGAGTGCGGGGTATCCGGGTCCCCCTTAAAGACCTGTTCCATCATCTTTGCGGCTGTGGGTGGGCCTCCCTCGAGGGGGAGCAATCAGCCTCGAGCGCTTGCCTTCCTAGAGTCCCTCACTTGCCTCCTCCTGTCGGGACAAGCCGGGGCCTCCCCGGAGCGGACGAGGCGCCTGATCTCGGCCGGACGCCTGGCTCTGCACTGCCCGGGCCTGCTCGGCCTGAGTTAATTTCGGTCTAAAAGCAACAGCTACAAAGACTGTGGTACCTGAAACCACAGGCTTCTGGCTGGGGAAGCAGGAATCCCTGTCGAGCCAGTGCAGGCGGCGTCCCGGTTGCACGATCCCAGCGCCTGATTTAATTGAATTGTCAGCTCCCTCCCGAGCCCATTTTCTCGGGGGTTTGAGCCCTGGCCCACGTGGTATGGGTGGAAGTGGGGGGCACTGGTAGGAGATCCCTTGCGATCCCCACTAGGGGAGCAGCTCAAGGCTCCCCAAGTTCAACCATCCTCAGAGACCTGCCACTCACTAGTGCCTCTGCTAGCTCAGATGTTCAGCCTGTTGCAAAACCAGGCGATGGTTATCTGCTGGTGGGTGTCTCCCTTCTTAGCACGGTGCTACTGCGATGCTGAGTGAGGGAGTGAGTTAAAGGGTTGGCATTTCTCCTGAGGGAAGGTGGCCCGATTGCAGGAAGTGCGGCTGGAGGTGTACAATGGTTAAGGAGGCAGACAGAGACCTTGTTTACAGGGTGTGACACCCATGTCCCTACCCACACTCCCCCTCATAGGTAGGAGCTATCCACAGACTTTAATCTAGGCCTTTAAAAAAATTTAAAAACCAACCATATTGCTCCACCTTTTTATTAGTTCTCTGTACCTAGCTTGGATTTAATCATTTTTAAGGCTGTCCAAGGCAAAATTGTAAAACAGATTGTCTTCAAATGGTCATAACTACCTCTGTGCATTAGGTGTCATTATGACTTCCTTCCTGCTCCCCCCACCCATTTGGGGGGTCCCTAGGCTGATGAAGCTCCCTGTAAGATATTATAGGGGTTTTTTGTTGTTGTTGTTGTTGTTGTTGTTGTTGTTGTTTTCTCCTGCATAATTATTTCTGGAGGCCCATTAGAACCAGATTTCTGCCTAGAAGCTAAGACTTCAGATGTCTCTAAACCTCTTCTCTTCCCTCCACCCCTACCATCTTAACTACCTCCTTCCCCTGTACCTTAAGGCAACCACAGTCTCTTGCTGTCCAGGAAGCTCAGAGAACATCAGAACTGATAGAGATCATGCAGGCCAGTTTGACCTTCAATTCACAGATGAAGAGACTGGGATAGAGAAGGGCAGTGATTTGCCTAAGGTCCCACAGTAAATAGCTGATGTGGAATCTAAGATGAGGTCCTCTGATGGGCAGTATTCTTTCTACTACAACATCCTAACTTCTCAATGGATTTTTAAACTATTACTGAGTTATTAATAACTTCACACAAATAACAAGGATGTTCTCACCTTCAAAGGGGAATCAGTGACAATGATTCCAAAAATCATTGGAGTCAGTCCATAGGAATGACTCCAAAAGCAGAAGAACTTCAGGCAGTTTCATGCCTGGGTAGGGGAGATGTTTTGGAATGGGGGGGACCTTCCTAGCATCTAGTAGGTGGCCACCTAACACAAGAGGCTGCCTTGCATATTTTATAGTTGAAACAGAGCTAGAGTCATGTCTTTTGTTGTTGGGAGGTCATACATTCATAGACGGTTACAGCAGGAAGATCGTCTGAGCCATCCTCCCTCATAAATGAGGGAACTTTGGCCCAGAGAAAGGAGGTGACTTGTCCAAGATTATATAGTAATAATAGTTGACATTTGTATGGTGCTTTCAGATTTGCAAAGAGGTGAGATGCTATGGGTATGGAATGTTGATATATAATCAGACTTGGTTGATGTGATGGTTAGTTTTGCTGAACTGATTTCTCTCTCTTATTCTTTGTTAAAAGAGATGGCTCTTTGGGGAGGGGAAGGAAGGGGGATATATGTAATTGATATATTGTATATGTATTGTAAATGAAGGTGATACCCAAAAAATCAATAAAAATTTTAAAATAATATTTAAAATTTTCACAAAGCATTTTACATATCTCATTTGATTCTCATGACAGTCCTACAAAGTTGTACCATAGTACCCTAGTTTTACAGATAAGAAATCTGAGATCCCAAGAAGTAACTTGTCCTATACCTGGCAAGTATCAGAGACAGGACTTGACCCCTGGCTATTCTCAGCTTTGAGGTTGGCTCTATCCACCATGTTGTGATGCCTCATTAGGAGAATAGGGGAATAATCCCCCCCAAAAAATAATTAAGCATATTGGCAAAATAAGCATCCGGTAAGATAGGAGAGGGAAATTGCTACCAGTTTTAGTGGGGGGGGGGGACAGACAAGACTTACTGGAGGAGTTGGACTTTAAAAGCTGGGTAGGAATTCAACAGATGGGATCAATTGTGAATGACTTGGCTATGCTGATCAATACAGTTAATCCAAGATAACACCAAAGCCCTTATGATGAAAAATGCTATCCAGCTCCAGTGAAAAAAACTAAAGATGTCTAAATGCAGATTGAAGCATATTTTTTTTTTTTGCTTAGGCGATTGGGGTTAAGTGACTTGCCCAGGGTCACACAGCTGGTAAATGTCAAGTACCTGAGGTCGGATTTGAACTCAAGTCCTCTGACTCTATCCACTGCACCACCCAGCTGCCCCAGTGAAACTTTTTTTTTAAACTTGATTATTCTTTTTTTTTTTGTCTATGTTGTCTTTTGCAACTTGGTGAATGTGGAAATGTTTTACATCACTGCACATGTATAATCTATGTCAAATTGCTTGCCTTCTCAAGGAGGGGAAAGGGGAAGGAGAGAAGAGGAAATTTGGAATGCAAATTTTAAAAAAATGAACATTAAACATTTTTGCTTACATGTAATTTAAAAAAAATTTTAAGAACTTGTAAAAGGTAATAAATTTTCATGTGCATAACTTCAAAAAAAGTGAGAGAGAAAAATTCTAGGCATAATACAGAACACCTTAAAGGTGTGAAAAGGCCAAAGAATCATAGCTTTTAACTGCATCCTACAGTGAATGGGAAAAGAGTGGTATGAGGTAAGATGGGAAAGGTAATGTGGTGAGAAGTAGAGTGCAGGAATGGATGGAGAGCTGGACTTGAAATGAGGAAGATCTGGGTTCAAGTCCTGCCCCTGAATCATACTAGCCATGTAATCTTGGGCAAGTTCATTTACTTCTTGGTGCTGCAGGGGACTGTCTAAGACTATAATTTGAAGAACAGATTCTAATCTGCACTGGGAGAGGGAGGTTCCTCCCTGGGAGTCCTTTACACCAAATGGACGAACAAGCCTAGTTCCTTCCCCACCACCCAATAAAAAAGATAAACTTTAAGAAGATAATGGAGGGCCTTGAATGCCAGGACAAATTTGAACTCTACTCCACTGGAAAAAGAGAGCTACTGAAGAATTTGATCTTAGAACTCCCCTTCTCCAGCTCCAACCAATATTAAATCCCAGAAGTAGAAGGGGCCTTAAAACTCATCCAGTCTAACATTTTCAGGACTCTCCTCTATTACATCCTCAACATACATAGCCCAGAGAGCTCCTATGCCTGGAATAGCAGCATGATATGGTGAAAGGAAGGGGTTTTGAAGTCAGAAGAACTGAGTTCAAATCCTAGCTCAACCATTTATTACATGGACAAGTCACAATCTCTTTGGGGCTTCACTTTCCTTCTCTGTAAAATTAGCAGGTTGTATACCCATCCATCATATTGGTAAAGTTGATTTTAAAAAAAAAGGAAGAAAGCAAATGCTGGAAAGGCTACAGGAAAACATATATTAATTAATACACAGTTGGTGGAGCTGTGAATTGGTCTAACCATTTCAGAAAGCAATTTCACACTGTGCCCTCAAAGTCGCTAAACTGTGCCTGCCCTTTGATCCAGTAATACTGAAAATAGGCTGATACCTCAAAGCAATCTAAGGAAAAGAAAAAGGACTCATATGTGCAAAAATATTTGTATCAGCAAAGAACTGGCCACCAATAGGGGAATGGCTGAACATGTTAAAGCATATGAATGTGATGGCATACTATTGTACTGTAAGAAATGAGGAAGGGAATGGTTTCAGAGAGACCAGGGAAGGCCTGTATAAATAGAGGCAGAGAGAAGTGAGCAAAACCAGGAGAACAATTTGTATAATAAAAAAAATAACATCAAGTCAAACAACTTCAAAAAACTTACAAACTTTGATCAATCCTATGACCAGTCAAGATTCCAGAGGACCGATGATAAAGTATGCTATCCACCTCCTAACAGAGGTGATGGATTCAGAGTATAGACAGAGATGTATTTTGAGAGCATGGCCAATGCAGGAAATTTTGTTATATATTACAAGAGTTTTATTTTTCTTTCTTTTTCAATTGGGGAGTGGAGGATGTTGGAAGGGAGAGAAGATGGACTGTGGTTAATTTAAATGTAAAATTTAATTTTAAAACAAAATAAAAAGATTGGAGATAATGAAACATGCCTCCTCTTTTCTTGGCAAAGGGGATGGAGAAGACTGGTAGGGAACAATGTTTCATACATTGACACTGTATTCGGATATTTTTTGTTAACTGTTTTTCTTTGTTACAAGAAGGATTCAATTCAGAAGGCAAGGACAGAAATTTCTAGAAATGACAGATATGCAAATGAAACACAACAAAAAGACTGATTTTGGAAAAATGAAGAAATTAAAGTAGATGATCTCTAAGGCCCTATGATCCTATTTCTGTCTGAACCTGAAAGGAAGGATCAGGGAATAATATTTTGAATCTTGTTCCTGAAATAGAAGTGGAGTTTGGAAGACCACACGGGGTAAAAGTTGTCAACCCAGAACTGTGCCAGCCACTGTGCAGTAACAAGAAAGAAAGATACAGATTGCAAATCAAATAGCTTAGGGTCTGGTTAAGCTACACTCATAAAGCAATCAGAGAACAACACTAGGATGTGTGTAATTAAATGTTAAACTATGTGATGCAAACCCCACATGCTGGAGGAACTCTAAGTGTTATGGCTTGTTGGGGCTGGAATAATCAGGAAAGACTGTGGAGAAGGGGGAATTTGATTGTGGCCTTGACAGATAGAGAGGATTTGGAGTCAATGAGCACTTATTAAGTGCTTACTGTGTACTAGATACAATGTCAAGTGCTGGGGATACAAAGAAAGACCAAAAAAAATAGTCCCTGCCCTCAAAGAGCTTACAATCTAATGGGGAAGACAGCAGGTACACAACTAGGTATATACAGGATAAGTAAGTAGGTAATCTACCTGTGGTAGGTAATTTCAGAAGGCAAGGCCTTAGCAGCTGGGGGGGGGGGGGGGGAAGGCTGACTGCAAGAGGTGGCATTTGACCTAAAAGTTTTAAAGGAAGTCAGAAAAACTGAGAGGTAGAGGTGAGGAGGAAGAGCATTCTAGGCACAGGGACAGCCATTGTAAAGGTACAGAGATGGAATGTCATTTCTGATCACCAATAAATAGGCTATCGGAGTTGGTTCATGAAATTAGTATGGGGAAGTAAAGTAGGAAGAAGGCAGTTATAGAGACATTTAAATGCTAAACAAAGGA